AAATGCCAAATATTGGCCACGCATGATAATGTTTCGTTTGAAGATAGTATTTTTTATTCATCTATTTTTATTTATTTTTTTAACCTTGTGTAGTTTGTTTTTTGCCATGCTTGCAAAATGCCCTTGTTGGCATCTGTCTACTTTGGCTATATACAGCTTCTACCAAGTGACCATTTGTGCCAGAACACTGTAGATGTAAATAAGCTATTTTATCAAAACTATGCATGATTACATGGCTACTTGGAGTTTATCATTTGCATTAAGCATTGTTTTTTCCAGTCCTCTCAGAACAGTTCTGTGACCCATTTTTAGGTCACAACCCACCGGTTGAGAAGTACTCTTTCAGGCCACCTTGGAGGGGCCATATCAGCCACGATGCATCATGACACATACATCTCTTCAAATCATGTTCTCTTAATGGGATCTGCTTTTCATAATATAGTCGAGAGGCTTTTGTATCCAGACCTTAAGTGGTTATTTGTCGTTGAAGCTGTCGGTTCGTTTTGAAAGTGCATCCCCTGAGGCAGACAGACTCGGTGAGTGTTTCATATGATGTGGCGGATGAGCAGATGGTATGGCACTGTCACTTTTATACATAATAATTTTCTCTGCTTGTCTCATTGGCGTGCCACGTTCTCAGCCGAGCCCAGGGCTGGCTAAAGCTAGTTGGTGTGAGAAATAGTTTTAGCCTCTGCCATTGTCTCCTCACTCCATTCAGTGTGACACAGAACGAGACCCAAAGGAAGCACAGTGTCCTGTTGAATTACCTCACCTCCCTCCCTCCCAGTGCATTATAGTCATAAAGACACAGAGCCTATACCTGCAAGACTTTAATATGCAAATAACCACAGAAGGATTGTGACATCTTAGATGCATTTTACTTTTACTACTTAACTAAACAGCTATAAAGCTGGAGTTAGTTCACCCCGAACCCCAAAATCATTTACATCCGAAATCTCGGTGGAACATGATATAAAATGAACTTGATTGTTTAGACTGCTCTTTTCCTTAAGGTAGGGTTATTTTAGTGTTATTTATATGCTATGTATTCATTAATTTAGTATTATTTTTATATTTTCAGTTTATTATTTTAAAGTTTCAGTAATTTTGTTATGTGCTTTTGTTTTTTTTATTAGTTTTTTTTTATATTTCTTATAATTATTTTTTTTTATTTTTTTTTTACATTTTACTAATTTTAGTAACACATTTTTCATTCAGTTAGTTGCCATAATAAATCTAATGTTCATCTAATATTTATATTTTATGTTATTTCAGTTTTATTTCAATTGTCAAAAAAGTTGTAGTTAACAAAGCTGCCTTTAAAAAGTGTTGATATATCACCATTGGTTCTCGTGTGTGTAGATTGTGAGTTAGATTTGTGGTGACTATAGACTTAAATTAGAGTGTTTTTCCTCACACAAAGCTACTGATGGCTTCAGAAGAATTGGAATATAGCCAAAAAGTCATACACACCACTTTTATGTTACTTCCGTGCTGTTATTTTGCCATTTTTAGAACCGTTTTGTAAAGTGTCTGGCAGCATTCAGTTTTATTGTATAGAACAGAGCATTTAGGCCAAGGCCCATCACTTTTCCAGTTGTTTGTTATTATTTATAAGGATTCCAATAGGTCTAGAAATCAGACTTTTAAAATTAGGCTTCTTCATATATCCAGGTTTTTCAAACACAGTTGTTGAGGGGGTAAGAAAAAGTTATTTTGGCTTATTTGAATGCTTGTTTATTATTTTAAATCATCTGGAGGCTCCCTTAGAAGTTTGCTGGGGCCCCCTAGTGGATCCCAGCCTTCTAATTTAGAGCCACTGATTTAAGGTATTCAACTACGCTTGTTCCACAAATGAAAGAAAGTTTGAAATGACATGAGGATGAGTAAATGACACTCCTGGTGCCTTCAGCTGTCACAGTCATAAATGTGTACTGATCACAATGCTACATAGTCTTTTCTCTGATGAGCACGTCTGCAAACTCTACAAGGAAGCGATTAGCAACTTTCACATATAATAACAGGGCAACTAACTCTGTGCATAATCCACTTCTGTCCGTTTTTTTTCTAAGACCCTCTTGTTTCTGGCTCTGTGGGGCGGTTCCTCCCTTCCTCCCGTTCCGGGCTTCTTTTTCTGTTGATGTACTTGCATTTTATAGTTTTCTTTTTCCATTTGCTCTTTAATGCGGCCGAGACTCTGTTTCCCATCAAGGCCTGGGATCCAACCACAACAAAGGCATCGCATGGCGATACAGGGGGAAACTTAATGACGGAGTGGGGAACGATTGGAGGTGATGTTATTATGGCTAGATGAGGGGGGAAAGCTCATCCTCAGGAACCTACAAGTGCAAATGGTCACGTTTTTCCAAAAAAAAAAAAAGGTGTCTCTATTATGTAAATAATGACAGAATGTAAATGTTCGAGTGAACTATCTGTCCATTTAACTCATTAAGTTCATACAAATTGAGCAAACCACATATTAATATTAAGACTAAACGGGTAGATAACAAAAAATTAAAAAAAACCTGGTCATCGTAATTCCAGAAACCCAACAGCATTCATGTCCCAGCGGGGGTTGTTTCTGAGTCTTGCCACCTGCATGACTTTAATTCAAATCTACATGACACCCAAAAAGCAAAGCCTGTGATTTCACGTTTTAATGAGGCCTGGTTTTCTTTCTTCTTGATTGCAGCGAGCATGGCTTCCACAGTGCTGCCTGGACGCTGTCCAAGTGTTCTGCGGCTTTTAGGGCTGTATTTTCTGATTGGATACAACTGTTTGGGTTGTGCTAGCAGCAGCGCAAATGTCCTACCACATATGTAGCTGCACCCTACGTCCGTTGGGCCTTTTTCAGAGCCAGCCACCGGAAAGCATTTGCCCTTTTTGAGGCGAGCAAGCCTCACACAAATCAAAATGATTATCGGTGCGCTCACATTTGAGGCGGTCCTGCATGAGGTATGTTAATTGCATTTGATTAATGGCGTTCGGGAAATTTGTTTAGGGAAGCTGTGTGGTTTTTTGATTTGTTGCATGATGCCCTGTACTCATCCCCTGAAGGAAGGGCTCAACCCACATCAGCGGTACATCTAGACAACTCTGCTTGGAAAAGAGAGGCTAATTATCTCCAAATCTTCCCTGTGCTCCAAAACACTGGAAATATCGGCAATACTTCACTCATTTGTTACGTTTATTAGTATGTGTGTGGGTCAAAGACGAAAAAGGATTTAAGCATAAAAACAATACGTGTAATGCTGCTTTAAATTGTTGTTGTTCTGTTTCTGTTTAATTTAATTGCAATTTTGTTTTTGTTTTTCTGAGCAAAAAATAAATATCATACATTTTTCCCTGATTTACAGAAGAGACCCACTAAAATGTCATTCAGTGTAACAATCTTGTCAGGCATATTTACAACAAAAATCAATTTATGACATATTAAAAGACTAATTACTTTCACCCCAAATACGAATTAGTTAAAATTTGCCACGATCCTAGGTTTTGCCCATTTGTCAGTAAGAATTTTTTACTTATTTAAAACACAATCAAATTTAATATGCTCCCTTATTCTATTATATATTTTAATATGTACACGTCAGAATAAGCATGTTGTTTGAATTTTTACACAAATATTGTGTTACCCTGAATGACAATGTAACATTATTTCAACCAAATTTTGACATTTTATTCTCCAAATACGTATTTGAAACCTTAAAAGTAGACACTTTACTTGCATTTAATGTGCTTTCTATGGACATAAAATCACTTTTGTAAATTTCGTTTGATGCGGACATCTTAACGTCTTTGACCCGTGTATGAAATGAGTGAAAATGTCCCTATAAACCCTTAAAAACAAAGGTTTTTATTGTCATTTTATAAAGAAACTTTAAGATCTATGGAACCTTTCCATTGTTCAAAATGTTCTTTCTAGTGGAAAAAGATTCTTTAGATTTTTAAAATGTTGTTCATACCAAGAAAAAATTAAGTCTTTTTTTTTTTTTTTTTTTTTTTATGGAACGAAAAATGTTCTTTTGTAGCATAATTTTGAAACCGCCCTTGATTTTTCAAGTGTAGAATATCTGGGGACCAGAAATTGGGCTCCTAATTTTGACTTGACCCATTAAGCAACCACCCAGAACATCATGGCCGCATAGCAATGGAAATGGAAAATCTAGGTTACTTATTATTATTAATATTCTATTCTAGAGATGCTATTTTTTTGCACATTTTAATTTTGTTGGCTTTTGGAGATCTTGGAGAGCAGATCAGAATGGAGATGTTATCAGATTTTGAGGTACCTCACATATGAAAGCCAGGGTTTAAATCCACGCTCTCGCCACATACCAGCTTCCATCATTCAAACCAGAACTCATCCAAATGAGATGCTTTGAAGTCTGGAGCTTAGAAATACCAGCAGATACCCTTTGATGGAATAGTTACCCTCTTGTTTATTTTGACTGTGCATAAGTCTTGGGTCTCTGTTGTTTTTGGTTGAGAAAAGGGTCCATATGGTTGCCTTACAGACATTTTGTTCCTTTTTGTAGTTTAGCTTTTTGCTATGGGTTCAGAGAAGGGTAAGTAACACAATCGTCTTTTCACGTGACTGTGGCATGCTTATGGAATTAGTTTGCAGACAGGTCATACCACACAAATGTAATTTTGGAAACACTAACCTGAATCATAATTGATTTATTTCTTCCGTTATAAAATTATTCACCCGCAGCGTTATGACTCATAGACTTGCATGCTTACAGATGCAATAACATCTGACTATGACAATTTGAGTGTCAAACTCAAACAATTACCATAACCGCAATGTCTGCCAACATACTGTATTTTCTAAATTGTTTCTATAAAATCATAATAAATTGATCTCTATCAAATTATGTAAGACGTTTTCTGAATATTTCTGTTTGTGCTAGCTACCCACAGTTTTCTGGATAAAACGTGTTGCATTTACGTCTGAACATTTGGATTAAAAGGATATTTTCTCTCGTGTCTCTCAGAGTGTTATACAGCAAATGGAGAGGACTACAGAGGTCGACAGAACCAGACAAGCCTGGAAGGAGGAAGACCGTGCCTTTTCTGGAATGAGACTTTCCAGCATCCATACAACACCATCAAGTACCCCAATGGAGAAGGAGGTCTTGGACCACACAACTTCTGCAGGTCAGGCAAATACTGTCTGGATGGAAGGATAGCAAAATAATAGTGTTCTGTAGAATTTTGCATGATGAATACACATTTGCAGATGTTTAGCATTGCAAAAAATACATGTTACTCAAAGAATACAATGGAGTTCCACAAAAATGACATTCGTACACTCCTAAAAATAAAGGTTCTTTATTTGCATCTATGGTTCCACGAGCATCCATGGAACCTTTTCATTCCACAGAAGGCTGTTTATAGTAGAAAAACAGTTCTTTAGAATGTTCTTCACACTAAGATAAAAAAAAAAAAAATCTTTTAAGAATTGAGGGACCAGAAATAGGGGGGACCTTGTTACTTTTGGAACATTTATTTGTACAAGTCAGTAAAGCGATCTGCAGAATGATTCAGGGGACTGTTCCTTTAAATAAGAGAATGCATTTTAAGTGAAAATAACCAAGAGGGACATTGTTGCAAAATTGTAAGAGACATTGTGTGATTTTTGGCGATGTGTTGTAAGAATTTTATTGACACATTCTTCAGTGTCAGAGTGTCACGGTGTCTAAAACATTCACATCCTCAACAATACAGATGTTTTATTCATCTGAAAGTCTCTTTTACCATGAACTGTATTTATATATACTGTATAAGCATCCTAAAAACAGATTTTGTCTTTAAACCACCATACTTAATTATTCTGAATTTGTTTCATGTTGTCAGGGAGAAGCTTTCTGTTTCTCAGAACGTCACACTGCAGTGTTTGACTGTGGTCCATGAGCGTAGGTTTATTTTTTGTGCCTGTCATTATGTGGACTCAGCAGGGCTTGAAGAGTTTACATTTGCAAAGTCGCCCCCAAATCCCTCTGTCCCGAAAAAAAAAAAGCAGCAGAGCGACAGCGCGGATGACCGATAGCCTCTTTCTCTCCTCAGCTTCACATTTATTCTAGATGCACGAGCTAACACACAATGCAAGAAATAAAACATGACTGTCATAGGCCTGTTTCTGTAATATACAAACTGGTAATCCGACCGAAGTCTAATCACAGATAGATTACAATATGCTGGAGGGTTTGGTTCATGCGCACGTGTAACACAATATTCCAGCTTTATACTGTTTATAAAGTTTGTCAATTTCATAAAAAGCATAAAAGTAGCAGTGTTTTCTAAATCTGTTGGAGTTTAGAGTTTCTCACAGTTTCCTCAGCTGTTATGTCACTCCTCAGACTGACGATAGTAACTGGAGTGGGATCAGAAAGCTACAAGTAGGAGATGAGAGATGGCATTTAAGAACACACTACTGCTGCACTCTTTTAAATGCTTCAAGGGATAGTTCACCCAAAAAAGAAAATCATGGCATTGTTTAGACTTCTTTATTTCTTGAATCCTATACGATTTTTCTTTTTTCCATGAAACACCAATGGAGTTATGTAGCAAAACTCTATCTATCTGTCTATCTATCTATCTATCTATCTATCTATCTATCTATCTATCTATCTATCGTTCTATCTATCGTTCTATCTATC